AGAGCGCAGAGATGGCAGAGTAGAATTCGCAATCCTTACCTGATCACGCTTTTTGCACGGGGAAATCTTCTCACCCACACCGGTACTCCTCCACTACTAAGGTTTAGTTGGCAATAAAATTCTTCTGTCTAACTAAAGAACTCCTCTGAGCGCTAGGAACATCAACGTGCCACGAATCATCAGGCAATACTCATTTTCATTAGGCAAGCTAAATGGTTGCCTCATCTCCACTTTCAGCTAACCAGTTCTTCACCTCGAACACTTTTTGCTGCTTGTGTGCGAAACAGCCTCATTGGCGCTATTAACTTTGAGGATAGCTGTCATCTCCGGAGAAGACTTCACATTTACTACTTTTTCTTGGTGCAAAGCATGGGAGGGATTCATAGTTTTCTGGGTTACTCTTTTGTGCCTTTCGGAAGAAGTTCAGGGAGGCAGAAGCTACATCGAAAAAGTGACTGCGACGAGCCCGCATAACATGGACGAGTTGCTTGAATGGGGGACGAGTTCTCCCGTCATCACTGCTGCTCATCGATCTTCGCAATAGACGCGCTCATTTTTGATCGATTCGCTGAGTACCTCACTCCAAATTGATGAGACTGTTTCTAGTTGTTTGGTATAGCTATACTTCCGTTATGTTCTCTGTTTCATCATCTATGGAATACGAATAACCCTGTTCCTTGAAGGCTTTGTATCCTGTCTTTCATTACTAAGGGTGCATTGCCTTCAAGTACGAAAAACTTGGTGTTCGAGTGTTCGACATTGCGTATTTTGTATTTCTGGTGAAATGCGCAACTTCTGTCTTTTCTTTTCTGTAATCAACTTCAACAATTCTCTTTTAAGGATCCAGGACCCTTTGCTGGGTCTATTTCTGTCATGTACGGTTACAATCAAGGGAATTACGGGTATGGTTATTTCTCTGCTATATTGTTTAATAAAATAGTTGTAATGAACGATAGTAATGTAATAACATTAGTACAAACTAATCTTCTGTCGGATGTACAGAGCCTTTCAAGCCGATCGTCCCCATTCAGGCCGGATTTTTTTTCGAGCCTTCGATCTATACTTAGCCAAGCAGGCACCCTGATAGTAGGTATTCCACTTCGGTGAAATAGCAGAGATTGGCTTTGGGTGGGATTCATGTGTCTTAGCCTCTGAGAAATGCTGCAAATGGTATAATATGTTCCGGTAATCGACGGTGAGCTTCAGATTAAGAATTTCGAACTACCTTCAAGTCCTTGGAGTCAAGAATTTGCCTCAGGATGCCAGGCACTGGGTTTAGTAACTAAAGTAATAATAATAATATACAGACACTAATTTTAAGCAAGATTTCCTCAATTTTTTCTTGTTGGTTTTTCTAGAAGTGAATTCAAGTACTTCTACTTTTTTCTTAAAGATCCGTTCATGAATGAATAAAAACTCATTTAGTGAATATTCCTTCCGTTACATTAAGATCCATTCTGGAATTACTCTGGAACCCTTCCTATGAGTTTCATTATCCTGCTTTCTCAGGTCTTGAAGCATGGTTAGAATCGAAAAATCCTCTCAGGTGCTTTTTGCAGTCCGCGGATTGAACGATTTCATTCAAGGGATCCTGCGCAAACCTAGACAAGTGGTAGTTTGATGGTGATATGTCTGGACTATATAAAGGGTGTGGCAAGGCATCCACCCAAGCTCCAGTAATGTTTGACCATTGGCCAAAAATACGTGTGGTCTGGGCTATCCTGATGAAATACAGTGCCCTACGATTGGCCATTCTGAGCGCTTTGATGAGTGGCCAAAAATATATGTGGTCTGAGGTGTTCTGATGGAAGACAACGCTCTCGCGATTTGCCAGTTCTGGGTGGTTCTGGTCCATCGTTGTCTTCTAATCGTCTAGCCGAGAACACCATCTTTCCGGAGTTGTCGTTTGATTATGCGGTAAGAACTCATAATAAGTGATTGCTGTGTCACTGATGGGATAATCCTCTCCCTTTCAATCCCACCAGTAACACAGCGTAAACCTCCGCATCTAGACTTTGACTCTAAGAGTGGTTTATGACGGCTCACTGAGAAGGCTTCACGATCGTCTCCGCTCCGCGTTGTTTTCACAACCCACATTTCACGTCCTCCGTTTTCATGGTTTTCAGGAACATTTCATTTTTGTTCCATTTGAGTACCGAGTCGCACACGGAGACTTGGTCCATTACATTGCGATCGCTCATTTCGTGAGGTGCCCGAACATCAAGGCTCTTAACAAGGACAATAGCTTCAAAATGGCTCACTGTGAAGGTTTCACGATCGACGATATTTCACTCCTATTCTCATGGAGCTGAGTTGCGATATGCACAAATGAAACGCACACTTCTATTCTACGATTAATGATGTGCCGATTCGTTTCTATTGCATTTTGTTTTGTCGTTTTCAACTGGTGATAGCCTCCCTAAGCGTTGCGGTTCTTCGAGAGTGAATTCGCCGTTTAGATTTCGCAAACTACTCACGCACTGTACATTTCCCTATAGCATTGTCTACTTGAACGTCGCAACTCTTTCTCGTGGCTTGAGCAACATTCTCGCCCTTGGGTAGAGGAAAAACATCAGGTGCCGAAAATGCACACAATGGTCGTCAATGTTCATGTGGATCCTGTAGAAACAGACTCTGAGGAATGTTGATAGAATCCAAACAGGGATATGGAAGATCATCCTTTCGGAAATTATATGAGTTTACCAGGTTAGGTCCTTAATCTCTGATACAGCAGTTGACAAACACAAGATTTTTAAAAACTGCGGAAACTTCCTGGACAAGCCAATATTTGAGCCTCTTGTCAATGCGGGTGGAGTCGAAATTATGGCATTGGTCATTATTCCTGCATGAAAGGAACGATCTGGTCGTGCATTCTATAATTTGGATACCTCTCGCGTTCGACGTATTTGACCAGCTCGAAGTAGGTACTAAAATGATTTCGCTGAAGTCATCAATGTAGCAGTCGTGCGAGGCAGCTTGAAGACATTTTGATGCTCTAATGTTGCAGATTGAAAGTGCGATAGCTGGGTATAGAATTCTTGCGGACAATGCTTAACCCAATGGCACCGCGCTTTTATACTGTCCTTACATTAACTTTTAATTTCTTCATAACTGCAGTTGGAAATGAATGATTCCTCGACCACAATGCCTCAAGATTCTTCAGAAGGCTGTGTGCTCAGCTGATACTCAAAAACATGAAGAAATTATAAGAACACTCGATAAATAATAAAAATACTACAGGAGCACGATATGGCGTGTCTAAATCAAAAGCGAACAACCGCCATTGAGCCCAACTCAAATAATTTTATTGCCATACTCAATGACGTTTCATGGAAGTGTTATTTAACTGTTTCTTATTTCAGGAACTATGGATCTGCCTATACAGCGGCCGCTGCAGCTGCAGCAGTTTATGGAAATTTAGGTGTTGGTCAAGCTGCTTCTCAAGCTCAACAGCAGTCAAGCAGCGTGTTCGGGTAAGTCATGCACAGCGGCGCCTACAAATTTCTTATCACTCTCCACCTAAACTAGCGCCTTGCGGTATTCAAAAATGCTTGTAATCTTTCGGTAAAGAAAAACTAAATGTGAAAATTTAAGGTCGTCAACAACCAATCCATACGCTACCTATAACTCTGTTGCGGCTTCTTACGGATATGGGAACCAATCTACAAATGCGGCCTCAATGTATGCCGCACAAGCTGCTCAGGTACATCTTAGTTGAGATTAATGTCACTTACATGCACGGCGTCCACTCACTGCTTACTTGTGAATTCCAGGCACAAGTGCAAGCCACTCAAGTGAGTCGTTTGTCTGCTGATGCTGCATATGCTGCTGCCGCTGGCGTTGCCCCGAGCCAATATTCAACATTCGGAGCTGGACAAATTGCAGGTAATCTTGTTGTGATAAAAACTATATTTACATCCTTTTCGGTTTTAGTCACAAGTTTTTGTTTTCTAAGCCTTTACGTAGCTGTATCAGAGGGTTGATGGGATTGTTTTGAACGATCTTCTTGCTAATTGTTCGTAATCCTTGAATTCACAGCAATTCAAAACCACTTGTTACTCGTAAGCATTTGGTTGAAAGCGCGGTTGGAGTAGACTAAACTCATACTTGATGAAGATAACCAGACATACTTTGGCAGTATCCTCCAATGAAAAGTTACTTCATTGATGTGTATGCGCTCATTTTAAAAGACCAGCTAATGCGCTTGTAATCATTGCTAATCCGAAAGAACATTACATGACAGATTTGAGAGCCTTTATAATGAAATGGACTAATAATGTAAGTTATCCTGCAGTGGCGCTTGTATAAGTCCTACCAAGATCTATATAACAGGAAAATATTTGTTGCGCTTTATACCTTTATACCATGGTCTGACCTACCTTCAGGGTTTTCTGTTAAGAAATCTTTTTGGATGATCCTTCATCGTGTGAGACAATAGATATACGAGTGCATAGATTCACAAAGTCTGCGACCCCATTTTCCTTTAATGACGAAGTGTTCTTGATGTTTCATGAATGTTCCGCTTTTCGATCCTCGAGTAAAGACCGCATCTGTTTTTTCTATGTTAGCACGTAATGACAGCACTGATCTCTGGGTAGTTTTCACGAACTTCATGTACCTTGGCGTTATCCTTTTCTAAAGACTTTGAAGGAAAATTGCGTCCTAACGAGTCTCGAATGGTCTCCCCAAAAGCAAAAGTCGTCCAAACTGAGAACTAGAAGATGTAGGTCTCGGGACCTTTCTTAGTTTCAAATTAAGCTACAGTTAATTGTTCATTTTTTGATCAGCAACGAATGGTTTTGGAGAGGTCCAAGATGCATTTATTGAAAAAAGTTTTGAGGGAATCCAGTCGGTTTGTTCAGCCCATAAAGTTGAAGGATAAAGTTTTTGGCGTTGATCAATCCCGTTTGAGGGATGCGCCCCCGCACTCGACTTCCATTAAGAATCGTAGTGGCGTAATGAGTGCGTATGTGGCCTATACAATGTCTTGCGGTGGCCAGCCGATGTACAAGCCAGTGCTTTTATCCTCCCAGACGAGTCTGGTACCTATTCAGCGAGCCCGGTGGGATGGAAGGCTTGGTTGGCCTAGACGAGCATCGATCCGAGATTTGAACCCCTGATCGTGCGTGTGAGATAGTGCGCCACTTGCCACTTCACCAACTCCGCCCTTTTCAGCCCATAGTAACTATAATATTAGGTTGATGCATAATTATTGCGGATTTCCTGCAACAAATTTTATTTGAAGAAGCGATTAAAATACTAAACTAAGAAATGTTTATATAATTACTCCGGAACTTATCCACCATCCACGTCAAACATTGCTTCCCACTCGCTAGGTAGACGGATTCCAATAGCGAAGATGTTTTGATCCTTGGAGGCGATCCACGCTTTTATGTCAGCCATCAAGTCATCCAAATCGTCGTAGCTTCTATTCCCTAGCCGTTTTTCAATGGACGGTTGACGTGATAATCCATAAAAGTTTCTGCCGGTATTGTTCCATCACCGAGAAGTTATTGAGATCGCGAATTGACCCTGCCACCTTCCAACTTTCTCGAAGTAGTAGAGCATAATTTGTAATGCGGATGGTTTTCTAGACACATTTCTGTAGAGAAAATCATGGAGATCATTTCTATAAAAACCCAAACTCAATAAAATTATATCGAGAGAAAAAAAGCCGCGAAAAAATCCGCAATAATTATGCATCAACCTAATATAATAATAAGATCAGTAGTAAAGGCAGGACTCTTCCCAAGATGTCTCCACTTGTTCTAGCGAAGCGCTGATCTCATTCTTCCACAGTGTTGGGGCTTGACGCGGTTTACTAATTTATCTTTCTGAAATCATAGTAGTCATGAGGGCCAAGATCTAGCAAATATAGGAGTGAGAGCTAACAGTGATACCAAGCCTTCCCGTCGTCGTTCATGGTGTGGTTGAGCATCGTAAATTACAGTCGAAAACTGCCGTTTAAAATCGTTGTGAGGTGATAGTTCGATAAACGATCTCTTGCAGTGGTTCGCAAAATACTTTTGCGGTTAGAGCAATACTGTTCAATGAGTCCCATCACACGAACGTTCGGTGATAATGCGAAACTTTCCGTCATTTTATAGTAATCCTATTTCTTTCATCATGTTTTTCCTTATGTGGCATACCTACTGCAGACCATCGTGGGGATTGTTTTTTTTTTCAAAATGAGCTGTTGTTCTTCTATGAAGTGTGTCGTTTTGATTTCCATTCTGAGGAAATCTTCAAAAACTGAAGCCTTGTATCGGGCTCTGGTTCGAATCTGATTTGATTTTCTGTGGTCGCACTCATGCAGCACTTGAGCTTTGACCATGAACAGTAAAATACGATGAACATTCAGTTCATTGCCAAGTATCCACCTTGGGTTAGGTTCAGTATCGTTCTCACCTTTGAATGAGTAGAAAGATTCGAGAAGAAAGGGCGTTGTGATCAATGAGAGGGTGGTTTCAGAGTTCAAGGACATGCATTGTTTGGCTGCTTTCAGACTTCAACGACCGATCGACCGACCAACCGACTAACCGATGGCGGCGCAGGGTGGCCACGTGCTGATAGCGCTGGACAACTGCGTTCGGTCGGTCGTCGGTTGCGTCGTTGAATCTGAAAGCACCCTTTCACCGACCGGCCGACCGACAGCCTTACTGGCCACGCATTGACAACGCTGAACCCATAGATACCGCTCACGCGGCCCTGAACGCAATCTGTCGTGCGTTGTCAGCACGTGGGGCCAGCAACTCCGTCGGTCGGTCGGTAAAACAGTGCACGTTGCTGAA